CTCGTAAGCACCTCCAGATGAATTTCCTCAGGTAGCCGTTATTTCGGAATGTCTCCTACATTCTTTGCTCTTCTTTCTTCTCCATCTCTGTTCTGTTGTAGTGCGTCTTGACCCTCATTTTTCTAACCCACGAACGGCTATATCATAATAACCTATTGTAAGCGTTAAAAACTGCATCTTCGGGGGACTTGAGTCGTAACCCATGCGAGATAAGCGGTGCTATTCGCATGACAAGGAACTCGGCAGTTAATGTGCCAGAATATCCACCAAATAAGCACTGGACTTCAGAGCAGCCACTATCATTTCTCGATTCGACACTTTGTATCGCTTCAACCACTGAGCTCAATCCACCCAGAAGGATGGTTGGACGTCCATTGCTACACAGAGTCTGTTTGCGGATGAAGAAACTGCGTGAAATCAGGGGGATCCAGAGATGAAGGAAGCTAGTCCATATGGAAATGTCCAGAAACTTCTTCATCCGTTACAAAAAGAGTGATCAAAAACTAAGGAAAGGATGAGCACTCAAAAGCTTTCTTCAAACTGAATGGCGAAACAAGGGTTTCGCCTCGAGCAGACCGGTTAGATTACTTTGGAAACAAGATGCGACCCAACAACCTGGAGTCAACCAGTCATTGTATCTTTAGCCAAAATACTACTCGAAGCGAATAATTCGGCCATCGAGTTGTAGGCCATATTCCATTTGTAACAAGATTACCACCTTCAATAATGCATGACGGTTGGCCTTATGGCACTAGGCATAAGTCCAAGAANCGGTTAGACTACTTTGGAAACAAGATGTGACCCAACAACCTGGAGTCAAACAGTCATTGTATCTTTACCCAAAAAACCACTCGAAGCGAATAATTCAGCCATCGAGTTGTAGGCCTTACTCAATTTGTAACAAGACTACCACCTTCAATAATGCGTGACGGTTGGCCTTATGGCACTAGGCATAAGTTCAAGAACACCAGGAGGGATTTCTATAAGGTTATGATTGCCTTGGCCACATCTTCAGCGTCACACATCATCAACTAAATGAAGCGTTTTTCCTGGAATTCAGGAGAACTTTCGACCAGGCGCATTGTCTGGCTCTCCTACTGTTACTCGGACAAAAAAGTAAATATTCTCCGTACTATTTATTCCACACAACTATTGGCCGTGTTGGAATCCACAATGGGCTACCCAAATGTTCCCCACAACTAGCGGGGTTCGCCATTTTTGTTCAGCACCGTCAGTGAGGCGATCACGGAGTGTCCAAGAGTCAGTGAAGCTGGTTGTCGAAATCAAATCTGTTCTGTTGGTTAACGATCAGGCATTCACCCAAACTACTCCGAAAGAGGTAATGAAGGTGGTCCCCAGTCTCAACACACCGCTTGTGTAATTGCAAGGCTTCACTACTGGGTTTTCCACTCCCATGTACTTCTCCGAAGCATCAGAAAGAGGACTATGAGTTTGTTGCTAGAGTTACTTATCTTTTCAGCTGTGTAATTCATGACTGTAGTCTTGAAAATGAAATCGGTACATGCGTCATCAAGGTACGGGTGTAACGGTGATACTACTGATGGGGAGGCACGCGAGTAGTATGTTGTTCGTGGAATTTCACTTTGCGTCTCTGGAACAGGAGAGATCTGTTGCGGATTTTGTGGATTCGCTTTGTAACATGTGCTTGGATCTGAGCGATGAATGATTGGAGTCAATGAATATCTAGGAAAGTTCAAGGAGACGCGTTCAGGAGAAGATGGATGTCCAGTTTTTGTAAATAAGATGCAAATGAGAGTTTTGCATCCCTACCCAATGGTCTGTAACCGGTCAGTTGGCATTTGTTAATAAATAACTCCGCAGTGAAGACCTTCTTCCTTTCACGGGTAGTACGTGCCAAATCACACCATATTTGGCGTCAGAAGCGCAGATCACTTAAAAAGCTGTGGGATCAACGTACTCAAACCGTCTGAGTTCATTTAATCAGCCTAAGGAATTTGTGGTGTGTAGCATATACATATGGAACCACTAGCTATCAAATGAGGCAGGTCTCCACGCCAAACCATTGTTGCCGAAAGTTCAGCGAAAAACAGACTAAGGTGCGAAACGGAAGCAGCTACTGTCAAGACAAGCTCTGTGGCTTTTCGTGGCTTCCTGAGTGGAATGTACGTAGCTTTCCTTGTGTGAGTTTGAAGGCCTTACAGGATATGGCACTTAATCGATCCTAGTGGCAAGGTTGCTGTCATCTGTTGGCCAGACTGCACAGCTGACGCTTGTCTGTCGTTGCGTGCTGTGGTTGCCTTGAATAGGGTTGGCGTTCTGCCTGAATAAGATGTCCAGATATGTTTAGTCCAGTGTTTTTGGNTTGAGTGTGTATGAGTGTATTTAACTGATTTCAGCTTTCTTTTTCGTTTGAACTATACTTCCGGAAGGAGAACCACGTCTGACCCTGCAACTGCTTTCCACTGAGGCTATATGGGAGACAATGGAAAACCACCCTCTTCTCTAATTTACGAGACAGGGCTTGCTTGCCGGGTTCTTTGGGTGCTGAAGCAGCTTCCATAACTCTGATGAGTAACATCAGTTTTTCAGTGATTAATACTCATCCCTCCACGGCAAACAAGACTAACTGTTGCATTACGCATCCAGTAACGACTCACCACCTAGGCCACAGCTAAAGGTTGACAAGAGCATAGTTTCGACTTGAATATGAGGTTATAGTAATTTCCAGACAATGCTCCTTCCTGAAAACGACTACTGATCTACGAGCGGTGCAGTTGACTTATAGGTCCATTCAGGACTGCTTAGTCAAAACGACTGGACACTCCTGCATTTTTTTCGAGTGCCATCTTGAGAAGGATTGTTGTTTTTCGACTCTGCCTCCGACCTCATCAGCGATGAACTGATAAATGGACATCTTCAATCACTCACCATATCACCTTACGCTTCTTGTCAACCACATATCGAGTTGGACTGTGACAAGCGACCAGGACTCAGTTTGATACTTGTTATTCAGGAACTGGACATACCAAAAGAATCCTACGAGTATTGGAAAAATGTTGCGTTGGGACTTTCGTCCTCGCCAATACAGACTCAAATGAGCTCATACGACAGACACTGACTGGTCTGACACATTGTTCATTTGGGCTGTCATAATCACTCACCAGTAGACAGGAGAAGCCAATCAACGGCCACGATAATCGCCTGCGCCAGCCTATTCATTGATTTAGTAACTCGAACGAACTATGAGGAAGAAAAATGACAGTCAACCCACACAAGTGCCAGTTTGACGAGTTCCATAAAAAAGGATGAACGATGCTATTTTAGGAACCCTGAAAGCCGCAAACCCAAGCTGTATTATTCATCCATCAATGAAAGAACGAATACGCATTGCGGGAAGGGGAATGTAGTCACGTAAGCCTGATTTCCGTCTGTGTCAGTTGGAAGAGACTAGCCCCCGTGAACGTTGGTGCAAAAGGTGAAAGGTCGAGATACAGCTAAACCGAGGCAAGGGGTGAAGTTTGGATTAACTCTGGGCAGAACTAAAACTTTTGGACGCACATTTTTCCGAAGGATAGAGACCAGCCATGCTGCTTCCTCAGGAGTATTTCTTCTGGGGAGACAGGTTAAAGGTGCAAGTAAACTGTAGAGGATGGCTTGTCAGGTTTACTCGACGTGCTCAAGAGCAATCATAAGACTGATAAACAAGAGATCTCAACCCTTTGAAACAAAACATACCAATAAAACCAGAAAACATAATGAATGTATATGAAATGAAAAGCAAACAATACAGCTTCATAACACGGATTCGAGCGGAGTTCCGGAGTTTCGTCCCATGAGAAAACGCACTGTTAAGATGCCTGGAATGGAGAATGCCGCGGGACCCACCATCCAGGAAGTTGGCATTCAAGGAGCCAGAATGAGTGTATCTAATCTAGTTAACCACAACGCCCGTATCCAAACTCTTGTCCGGAAAACTGAGCTAAAATGGGACCACTCGTTCAAAACAAGGGCCAAGCAGCTGAAAGGGCTCTCGGATTTTCGGCATAGCTAGAAACAGTTTGCATGATAAAATCCCTATTTTAATCGCCATAGTCTTCTGACTACGTACAAGATGTCCCCTCTTTAAAATCTCATATAAACGATAGAATCCTACGTGGCAGTTGGCGTAATATATTTACCTTCTGAAGCGGACGAAAAATGGATTTCTAATGAGAGGACTAGCTCCATATAGGATGCGAAAACCGCTAATATAGTACATTTGATAGACAGGCGAGGTACCTCCGCCGGGTGTCAGACCTCGCTGAAGCTTCTACCCATATTCATTAGCGATCACCATTGTTAGCCGACATGAAGTTCCGGAGAGTGGTACGCTCCTACAAGGTCCCATTTACCTGTGATCTAACTTGAAACCCTGGATACAACTAACTGCGGAGAGGCGCTACTCAGCAGCGATTCCATCGTCCCCGGATTCCATGTACAGCACATGTGAAGAAAGCAATTTTCTTGGGTCAGTACGACATTGGTAACAGTCTTAGTGACAAAAGACTGCTAACAATGCTGCACTTTTGAGGTACTCGAGGGGACCGTGCTCATAACCGTACATGAACTACGTGATCTAGGATGGGGATTACTGGATGAATAGGGAGCTGCAGCAGACAGACATCTACCTAATGACTCCGTGACACGAGTGCGGAGAACCAATATCACCCGATCTTTACTGTATGTGCCCTGTTTGAGGCCACTAATGGATGAGCACTCTGGCGCAGCTTCCAGAACACTGCTATTTTGGCTTGAAGGTCACTCATCAACACAGTCACCTCAAAACTCGATGATGCTTTGTCTCCCTAATTGATACTCTCCAACGTCAACATTTGGGATGCTTACACACAGCTGGTTCATCTCATGGTGATTCAACATCTCCACGTTACGGAACCTTCAGTCTGCTGTGACTTGATGTTCGCGAAAGGTCCGATGGATCTAGCAAGAAATCATGAATGAACTAAGAGTACGTCATCTGTTAGAATACGGATGCATCTTGTCATACCAGTACTCTACAACACAGAAATTCCGAGGCGGATGCACAGATGAAGGGATGGGGCAAATCACAGGCAAAAATGAAGATAGAAGAGAAAGCTAGAAAAATAGTCAGCGGAAGGTGGTGAACACGGAGCACGAAGCTTAGAAATGAGGCGTTTGAGATTCAACGATAATGTCATTTGTGTTGGGCACCGAAGGAGGATGGTCAATCTTCGAAGAGTCTGAGCATGAAGTCAAACATTCGACGAATGCATCTTCCAAATTGCTGTGTTTCACAGAATAATGGCATACAAAACCAAGTTCACGTACTTTTTGAAGTGCACGGAACAGCTGAGAAAGTGGCTTAAAATGGGGGTACTGATACTGTTGTCGTATGCAAAGTGGAAGAGACAAGGTCACCAAAGGTAAGTACTTTCGTAGTTCGGACTGTAATTGGTCGGGAGGTAAGATTAAGGCGGACGGACTAAGTTCGAAGTCTACCGAATATCCGACCGCAAACCGCAGTTTCAATTCCAGAGGAGTGCCATCGCACTGAAGCCGACCTTCCACAAGAAGACCAACACGATTGCACAAGGTTTCACATTCTTCCATGCAGTGTGAGCTAAGAAGTATGCAACGCTGTCGTTCAAGTGCGGAGTTGATTTGTGACCACAAAAGACGCCGAGCTCCGGGATCCATGCCACTGGACGGCTCATCTAACAGAAGAATTTGTGGGTCCCCGATAAAGGCGATGGCTGTAGAAAGCTTTCGTTTTGTCCCACCAGACAATGTTCGTACAAGGTGATCGGCGTGCGCATCCAAACCAGTGGAAATGATCAATTTGGATACTGTCGCCTCCAAATGAGAACCACTCAGGCCACGTAACCTTGCATACATCTGCAATGTCTCACGAACCGTGAGAAAACTATGAAGAGCGTCTTGTTGAGGACAGTAACCAATTGACTGGTCGCAATGTCCAGCGAAGAACTGTTTGGATAAATCCATCCCATTGAGGAAAATCGTGTTTCTTGGGGCTGGGAATCGTCCTGTGAGTAAACCGAAGGTGGTCGATTTTCCCGCTCCATTGGTTCCGAGAAGGCCAAAACATTCGCCAGCACGAACGCAAAGATTGAGATCAGATAGAGCAGGACGAGACTGACCGAAATAGCGTTTGGACAAGTGTTGTATCCGGATTTCTGTTGTGGGTATATCGGATGTGCAAAGTGGCACATTCTGAAGTGAGAAGGTAAGCACAAGTAGTAGATGTTAGGAAACAATTAGTAAACTGAAAATAATGACTTTACATTTACGGTTCGGATGGAAATAAGCCAGTATTAGGAAAATCATACCATATGATGGGAACAAGTGAGGATGAACTCAGGTCACGATCCAAAGGAACAACCACGGATGATCACTCATTGCAACGGTTCCCTACCGGTTTCTGCTTAATTGGAGGTGTCATTTTGAGGGCGACAGTGAACATCAACTGCGTTCAGCCTGATTAGCAGAGATTTGTTTGAAGGCTACTGTGCTCTACAACCTTTTAGTCACGAATGATTAAGCTGATTGTTCGGATTTTTGGACGTGTCATGTATTCAGCAGCCTTCACTGCAGAGTCGTTTATAGATGGACATGAGCTAAGCGGTTACAAGCCACTAGACACGAAGGTAAATATCTCATATCCACAGAGTTTCTGAAAACCAAACAGCCCCAAGCGTCCTCTTCGAATTTCCTGGACATTCTTCGAATATTAAACAATGATGAACAAACGCTGCGAAACGGTTCCGTAATTTCGATCATCAGATGGGGGACGAAGCCTGGATACGAAACCAGACGCTACTCGCATGTATCGTCAGTAGCAGACACCAATAAACTAGCGCAGTAACATCAGAAACTTTCAGAATGCCCAACGGATTCAGAACTCTGGATCGAAAGCTTAACTGTATGCCACTCAGTCAAATGTAACCCTCACTATGCTGTTACTTTTTAATCATTCATGAATTCGCGCTAACGATTTCGTCCATGTATAACTCATTATGTAATCATGGTATTTCATCGACATTCACTTTAGACTTGGCTTATTCTCTTACGCAGAGCAGGAGGTATGTAGTCGGAGCATTCGTTATGTCACGTTCGAGTGAATAACTGAACTTCAACTTCATCAAGGCGGTTATCGCTTTCAGTAAAGACCTTGACCAGGCACCGGTGAATTAGAGGCGTGCCTCCTTACTTTACCGATCATTCTGGTGGGTCCATTCAAACGTACGAGTTTGGTAACGCATCCTTGAACTTGTACTTGCTCCCGGGTGTGTTGTGACTTGATGGACGATCGTGCAACTCTGTATCGGTCCATTGGCTTCCTGTTCCGCCCGCTATGGTATATCAAAAGGCACGGTAGCTCTACACAGCTCTTAATGGAGACAAAAGAAAATTATTACAACCGTATTTATAGGGTAATCAGTGTTCAACACGGTCGTGCTGGAATCTCCGTGAGGGGGCCAAGGAGCGTCGAGCCAGGATGCTCGATCTGGATTGGCTGGCATTCTGACCAATCAGGGCATGCCTTCGTTTGATCAATGTCCTGCACGTGACACGCCCCTCCAAATGAGTGATGTTCGGTTATTACGGACGGCTGACCTCCAGACACGGTGGAACTAACAGCGCAGGCTAACGGAGAAGGTGAGTGAGGTGACGTCCTCATCACACAGCCAGCGTTACCTTACGACGGACGTAACGGCGATTCTATTCTTGGATTGGTTGTTCTTTGAAGAATTCATGCTCACATCACCTCCGTTTGAACAGTCGTCCACCTTGTGCAATCACTCTGATGAGTCCACCACAAAGGGGGAAGCACTAAAGCAATCAAGCGTGAAGATGTTCGCCTGTCCAGATATGAAAATTCAGATGCATCCAACGTGCGCTGGTGGAGTGAGCGGGATGGCTCAATGGTCAGAGAGCGAATTCACTGACTGGAAGGTCCATGGTTCGAACCCGGCCCTGCATCTCCACTGCTCCTGGCAGTATCCGAACCCCCGGGCATGATGGCTAGGAACCGAAAGGGTACTAAGGTTGGTGGAGTAGTGATAACACGCTCGCCTTGTATGTTAGACGTGCGGGGTTCAGGCCCCGGTACGGCCAGGGATATGCACTACTGATGGGCTCTAATAAGAGCGGAAGCCGAGTTCATGCTTTTCCTTCTGGTTTGGATTGAGACAAGGGGCGCGACTGGTCAAAAGTGATGTGAGCGTTGATCCTAAAAACGCCGCAAGCACCTGCAACTAATAGTCTTTTCATGATACAGTGTTTGTCTAAACTGATCAGGATAGGATGAAACATCAGTAGGGGTAGATCCAGTGCGACTAATTGCTGGGAAAAGCTTGAACAAATGCAGCTATAGGGCGGACGTCCCAGAAGCTACAGGCACAGAGAAGGGAACGCTAGGAAGCTACTCTTCACTCACGTAACTGAAACCGCATTCATATACGGTAGAGCTCCGCTACATCGTTAGCCAAATCCGATCCACAGCCTATTCGAGCAGCGGAACTGAGACGTCTTCAGGTGTTCGACAATCGTTGTCTCAGAACCATAGCTCGTGTGAGTTGATGTCGGCGAATCCGTAACGAGTCAGTTAGAAAGCGCGTTTTCGGTTGTGTAACGGGTACTTCCATTGAAGAATGTGTCCAGCACCAGAAGCTGCGTTGGTTGGGACATGTGTTGCGTATGCCTAACCATTCAGGTTTTCGACAATCGTTGTCTCAGAACCATAACTCGTTTGGGTTGGTGTCAGCGAATCCGTAACGAGGCGGTTAGAAAGCGTGTTTTCGGTTGTGTAACGGGTACTTCCATTGAAGAATGTGTCCAGCACCAGAAGCTGTGTTGGTTGGGACATGTTTTACGCATGCCGAATCATCGTTTACCGAAAAGAGTACTATTTTCTATACCCAATTCGGAGTGGCGTAAACAGAGAGGTGGCCAACCCTTGACTTGGCAGAGGAGTATGAAGGAGATCACGAAACGCTTGGGTGTCGTCGGTGCTACTCGCCTTCCAGGATGGGGACCGCGTGATCCTCACTGTGCCTGGTTGGAGACACTACAAGATATGGCTGCCAACCGATGTCAGTGGCGTTCTTGTTGTCAGTTTCTGTCCAGATTGCCTGAGTGAATGTCTGGAGGTGTAGGCACCTCGGAATGATTGTGGTAAGCTAGCACTAAGTCCCTCCCCCGTCCATCTTTACTCTTTTCTTTACCATAAGGTTCAGAGGAAGCTTGCCTTTGTACTAGTCACCACGCGTTTAGTTTTCTGTCTTTATCCGTGTTCCAAATGTTCAAACTGTGTTTATGTGAACGTCACAAATCGTTAATCAGTTGAACAACACGGGGGATTCAGCTAAGATTCATTTGAGCCTCGCGTTGAAGGTAAATTAGTTTGCAAACGAATGTAGTCCGCGAAATGCCCACAATTCGGGTTCAAGAAAAACAGAAACGTGGGGACTTCTTCTACCTGATGAACCCGACGGGCGAAACGGCCGCGGGCTGTTGAGGAGCTTTTAGCAGCCTTGTGAGTAGTGTTACGTATTCAACAGAAGTGTTCTTATTGCCTGATTTTAGGAGCTGTTTCGGGGGATGAAATCACACGATGCTGCATTCATTGCGCGCTGGGGATCTATTTCGACGTTTCAGAAAATCAGGAGGGCATCCAACAAGGTAGCCCAGCTTGAAATGATTGTGCGGAACATTCGTTCGCTCGTTGGATAAATCTTCAGTTCGGTCAAAATACAACGTGATTCAGTAGTTCTGGTGTTTGTAGAATGTAATATTACAGGTTCACCCATATTGTACAGCAGTGTAGGGTTTGACCCCATGCAGTTACCTAGAAGAGGTTCTACATTTTGCGACTCGCTTCCAACTAGAGTTGGACACGTAACCCAAGGGGTAGATGTGCTCACATTTGTAATATGAAGAGCGGTTGTGTACTACAACAGCGGGAATAAACTACAAACGGTTTTATCAGGTGGTGTGCTGGGAAAGTAAAGAACCGTCCACAAGCAGGGGAATTGGTTTGTTCCTCAGTAATAAAACACCATATAGCCACTCTTGTATAAAATCTAGTCATATAGCGAAGGATACACGGTGAGCAACTGAGTACACCGGGCATCTATAGCACAAAGGAATCGGTTGCTGACGTAGGTGTGACGGACTAAAGAGGTCCTTCTACGTCGCCAACCGAAACCCTGTCTTCGGAAGAGGCACAACTGTAAAATCTATGAAAAGCTTTTATGTTGCAAACGCGGTCGGATTTTGACTTTGCAATGATGTACGCAGTTGCTTTTATTGTGTTCCTTAACAAAGTGATACGAAGTGATACAAAGTGATACGAATGTGCGCTTTACCTTTGCTCGAATGTTGAAGAGCGATTCCTGTCAATGACAAACACTCGTAAAGAGTTCGCCTGATAGCTTTTATAAGCATCAAACTGAATTACACACCGCAGGCGATCCAAAACTAGACTCAGGGTCATCGTCCTTCAACTTCTTAAGGCTAATTATTCGAGGGGAACTGTTGTTGTACGTATCGGATGACCGTGCGTGACCTCTGCAAATGTCTAAGATCGATGATGACAAAACCACATCCCTTCTCCGACAAACCACCTTTAGTACAGATACGACCACTGCTGTCAATTATCCAATCAGGGCCAGTGGTTAAGGTGCGAACTTAATGACCGGAAGGTCAGTGGTTCAAACTTAACCATAGCATCTAGACCATTCCTGCCTAGTCTTGGGCAACATGGTAGTATCTCAGCCTTGGTGTCCTTCCGGGTGGCATGACAGCTAGGCACCGAAAGGGTGTTTCAGCTGAGCGATCGACCGCCAGTTACCCTCATTATCGTAGTCCGTTCACAGTGGAGCCCCAAGAACATTCAGGTTTCCATTCGGCGTTTGTCTCATGATGGAGAAAAATGACAGGGAAATAGTCAGCCGCGAGCTTTGGATTTGCTGTTCCACTCTCCCCGATCCGGGTTTGCTAGGATTTTTATGACAGTCCGTCAACGAAGTCGAAAATTTCAATTGAAATTTATGTCGGTCGGCTGCACCTATACATCGGTTCGAGTAAGAAAGTAGAGGAATCTCATGTTTCTAAATCCGAGCGATAAGGACTATCATCAATTTCGTAAGTGCTCAATTTTGAAGCATTTCAACTAAAAGACGACCGGCGTGGTGCAAACAAACTGAACTATAGAGTTCTCCCACCCTGATTACATGCAGAGGCTGGCTAAGTGTTTTTGAGAGGTCCAAAGACTGAAATCGAGATGAATAGTTGTATGGAAGCGAAAATTTGACGTTACTTCTTGCGACACTCCACAGCGAATTCCTACAGTTTACACTGAATTTGAGAACCATGGAGTAGAAAACCTAAACAGTCATCGTTTGACCATCCGACTAAAGCAAATTATTGCGTTGGTATGAGCACTGAGCAAACCGAGATTGTTGACCATAGTGACAGAATTTCGTAGTAGGCAATTGCGGGATTTGTAGTGTTCACATTCACATCACTCTCGTTTGAACAATCGTCCTTCTGTCCTGTCCACACCAAAAGCGGGAGCATTGGACACGACTTTCACCCTTATTAGAGCTCATCAGTAGCGCATATCCAATGGCCGCGTCAGGCTGTGAATTTCACACATCTGGCATGCGAGCGTTTTACCACTGCTCCATCAGCGCACGTTGACAAAGTTTGCTGCACTGTTCAATTCCTAACAAAGATACCAAGTGTATTGCAATAACATCAAAAATGATGAGATAGCGTTTACAGCTCTCCCTCTCTCAGCGTTACACGTCATGCACACGAACCGACTAACATATACGCTCACACAAAACAGGTGTTTGGTTTGTGTAATCTATTGCAATTAAAATGGACACTTCAGAAAAATGTGCATCTGACAGGAGTGGATGACTATTTTGATCTGCTCTGAGAGGTAGTTCGCACGAAATGTACGCCGTAAAGGGTTCTAGCGGAGAGACGGTATCCCTAAGTGAGAAGATCTGAAAAAAAGTTTTAAGGAATCGCACAAGACTGGTTTGTCCAAAGCTGCACAACCGTACTTCCACAGGTGTCCAGAATTGTATGCCCTTTGATAAATAAACGTGGTTCACTTCTCCAAAGCTTACGATGTTACTTACCTTCCGAGCGATGTTCAATTCATCGGGGCTGTCCACTTTTGAGAAACGGACGATTAGGGGAGCAAAGGACGTGATAAACACAGCTTCCTTAAAAGAAGCTGGACCGATTGGTCAGATATTTTTGGAAAGTAGGAATCTCGTCCTGAAACCAGTCTTAAGCTCAACAGCTTGTTAGTGGCCGGAACAGCAGCGAAGACAAGAGTGGATCTACAAGTGATTTACTGCATGTGGCAGCATGAGGGAAGTTAAAAGGAACTCTAATTCATGGTCTTTGGTTGTGGAGAGACCATCTAGACTAACATGGTTGATTCGTTTGTAGATGCAAAAAATACCAAGCCGAATTATGAAAACGCTTAAGGTAGACGACGGAATTCACAGGATATTTTGAGCACTCTTTTGATATATTCACAATCAAGCATGTTATTGTCAACACGTCGAGAAGTGAAACAAAGCAGCCAGGTTTGCTTACCTTAGCCGATTTCGTGTTATTCAATTGATGGGGTCGTGCCAGTCCCGAGCTCCGCTGCAGACAACCTCCATCCCATATGTACCAAAACGAACCACGATATTCCACGAGCAACAAGAGCAGAACAAACAACATGGTTTGTCCCATCATGCACAACATTCGCGGATACAACATCAGCCATGTGAAACTGGCAATACCAACAGAGGATGCCACAGACAATCCGTTTTCCTGTAGGAAACCGTTAATTGCCAAGTCGAACACACTGGACCCAAGACAATGATGCGGGAAGAGATAGAGTAGGGTACGCTGAATGTGACTGATGGTGGTTTGGACGGTTTCGCTCGGGTCTTGAAGGAGCAGCAGTTTGAGAAAAACACCAATTGACAGCGTAACCGAGGCGATGAACACATTGACCGCTCCGATGAGCACGTACGCGGTGCTTGGATGGTGAAAGAACATGGTGGCCAAATAGACCAGTGGGGTCATTGCAGAACCGTACAGGATCACGATCAGGACGAACGGACCAATCACAGCAGGGGAGGTGTAGGCTGTCTTACGAAACACGACCAATAGGATGGTGCAAAAGAGCACGGGGATACAGTAAATAAAGAAATCCCAGACAAAATTAACGAGCCAGTACACGTAGGGTTGCATACCAGAAACACGTTGTAAATGCTTGATACCCAAATGGCGTTCCGTTACCAGGAGGACCGCGAAATTAGCCGGGATGGCCGTGAAGGCAATGACGAGGAAAAGAACAAAAGCCGCTTCGACTTTGAACGCCTCCAGGAAGTTGAAAAACCAGGTAGACTTTGGAAATGGAAGTGGATAATTGGCAACAACAATCCCTGTGTGGCTAACGTTCTTATGAGGAGTGAGCAGCTGTTGCAATTGCAAATTGAACAAGTAGTTCAGAAATGCTGGGGCAGAAACGTACCCTTTATTGTTGTACCACAGGACGACACGTTCCATCGGAGGTAACAGTACATCAGTGAGAGTGGATGCCGGAATTTGCAGGTGGGATAGGATATTAAGAGTTGAATTCATACTGGGCTGATAAACGATTGCAACCCAATCCGCGACCGAATTGATTAGGATAGAAAGAAGATGATCTGATGTGTGGCGCCCGATAGGTCGAAGTGTAACGCCTCCGTAAAATTCCTCTGGAAAGCGGCTTTGTAATATATAGGATGAAACATTAAGGTGTGTCAGATTAACTAGTCTATCGAAGGTGGACAGGAGACGCCACGGAGGAAGCTCAGATCGATTTTTGTCTGCCCCAGCGCAACTTCTGTCGTGTTCGGGTTCCGACAGAGAACCACTCCAAAGAAAATACGGTTCATTGGAGCAAGTGAGGCCGAAATTCGGGCGAGGAGAGTAGATATGACTAGGAAGACAACGAATACCCGTCCAGGAGAGGGGGTGGCTAAAAGCGGATGCAGTGATTATTGGTTCTATCTCATCCGATCTGAGCAGCGAGTAAGTTGGACACGTCTCGTGATGTACAAAGGTGCGCTGGGTTTTATAGCGACGATCCGTCATTAGTCCAGGATGTAGATCCATAATCGGCTGTTCAATTTGCGGACGATACAAACTGAACAAAACTAGAGAAAACAGGATAAGGCCACAAGGCATGAAAAACTCCAAGAACCAAACTCGCTTGTTCCGTTTTAGGTGACACGAACGCATACGTAATATGACAATAGATTGATGGTATATTCTCTTCACAATGGCCCAAAACGGTTTATCTTCCGACATACTGGGTGAAACAGGGATCACGGGTGCCACAGGCTTTGTCGCCAAGGGGAACACGCGACATACGGATGTGAATCTTGAAACGAGGTCAGTTCCTAGTTTTCGTATGGAGAAAACAGGCGCATCCGCCTGAATAGAATCACGTGATGAGTGCGTGGGAGAAATTTCCAAGGATGTTTTTGCCGGCAACTGATCAGCCTGTTTGCTTAGTATGGTAAGAAACACATCGTCTAGAGAAGTATCCGTAACGCCGAAATGCGATACTGGCCAAGCGGTTGGTGACCTATCTCCATTCCCGTTAAGCACGGATTCCAGATGTTCAAAAAGGTCCGCGTATGTACCACTCAGAGCTCCTTCGGGGGGAAGACGATACAGCAAAGTGTTCCTCGTTTCAGCAAGTAGTACAGCCTGGGGAACGTGGGCGCATATTAATTTCGTGACAGCATACACGCCACCACCACTCTCAAACTCACCTGGTCGTTTCTCCAAGGTGAGCAGATAACCCAGCCCATAAGTGGCTTTGAGCGACACGCATGATCCAGATTGTAGAAGCCGTCCACTTGAAAGTATATATATGCGATCGGACAAGAATTCCGCTTCCCTCATGTGATGTGAAGTGAATATCACCGAACGATCCTCGGTTTTCATTGCCTGAACGGAATTCCAAATGATACGTTTGGACAAAGGATCAACTCCGGCAGTGGGTTCATCCAGAAGGATCACAGATAAACTTGGACCTAGAAAAGCTAGGCAAACAGACAACTTCCGCTTCTGTCCACCAGAAAGAGTCGAAATCCGACAGTTCCGTTTCGATTCGAAACCAAAGTAGGCCAGGTAGCGGTCGATGTAGTGCTTAGTTAGTGCACTGGGACTATCCTTTAGAGCTCCATACAACCAGACATGTTCACTTACTGTCATGTCAGGGTAAAGTACATCATGTTGTGGACAGTAACCAACTCGGGAACGGATGTAATCTCTATTCCAGTGTACCTCCTGTGCATCAATCAAGACGGTTCCCTTTGTCGGTTTGAGAATACCTGCTAGGATAGACAATAAAGTTGTCTTCCCTGCACCGTTATGCCCCAACAACACGTTGGTTTGGCTACGGTAGAATCGTAGATCTATTCCGTTCAAAACTGGACGACGGTTGTAACGACGATAGAGTTTGTACAATCCACGCACAATGAGGACAGGCGAGTTGTGGCTCAAGGACTCAGGTGGTAACAATGATTCATCCGGCTTACTGTTGTGCATCTCGATCGTTGTGTTGCTCTTATTCCATGTCTTCGAAAAGTGACTATCCTTCGACTTGGATCGTCTAACTGGAGGGAAGAGTGATGATCGAATAATTCTTGGGATACCCCAAAAGGGCGATGCCAAGCATAAGAGGAAAGCAGATCTAACCAAGGGTATTAGGTATAGAGCCGCAACCAACTGAACTAAAATGGCACCCCAGAGAAGAACGAATACAAGTCCGAGGGAGTAGGGGCTGCTCAAGGATTCCAAAGGCCAAAGATCCGACCACTGTGCTCCGAAACCTTGTCGTTCCAATCGAATAATATACGCCCATCCAAACGTTTGACTCACCTGAGGCAATAGACTAGCGGTAACTAGCAACGTGGGCGAGAGGAAAGTTTCATAATGCAAAAGAATTGGCGCCGGCAAATAACACATAAAATATACACCACCAGAAACAACGGCAGCAAGATTAGCCTTGTTAAAAAACAGACTGAATACGAGAGAAAAAGTCAGAATGGACAACACATAGGATAAAATAAGAAAGACCAAGAGGGATAGACTAGTGTTGGGTGTGATTCTGGCGAATCGCAGCACGATCACCATCACAATACAGGTCACCGTACTGAAAAACATGGAGACTGCTAGCCATGAAACTGCACTTAAACCGTTTGGGATTCCAATCACCCGAAGCATCATGAGTAGACCATGTTCACGTTCGTCGACTAGGTACTTCACGCTGGCCACCAGAGTTAGCGACCAAGCCAGAATCATCAACTGTGGAATGTGGGGCCCAAACAGGTTGAGAAACTCGTCCACATTGAAGGCAGGAGATGGAAACATTTGAAACTCAACACCCAGAGGGTGGTACGGGATGTTGGTACCGATTTTCGTCTGCAAACTGGCAGACGCCAGGCTGAGCACAGCCTGACTGATTCGTTCTTCAAGGTCAAGAAAACCACTTGTGAAGTATTTCATATCCGAATCAGGATTACGCCGTGGTGCTGGAGACCAGTGTCGATCGAGCACTTTATATCGGAAAGTCGTATCAATGAGAAATGGGTTGACACGAATAGCAAACGCGTAGAGTTCCGTCAGATTCGATGTTTGGTTTGTCGGCCACTGTTCAAAATGTACGCCTAGCGGGGCAAATCCTATGTCAGTTTCGTTCAACATGAGGAATCGTTCAAATTCGGTCTGATCTAGAAACGGGATAAACCGATCAAATGAATCTGGCATGCAGTCTAAAAGGTGCTCAGTTATAGCAACAATAAAATCAATTTTCTCCAAAGTATGCGACCAATGTGGGGTGCCACTGGTCTGGGCTGCATCGCCGGAAGGGCCAGAAAAGTGTAATAGAAAAGAACACAATTCGTTTATCTCGTCTGAGAGGAAGATGAAGGCAAACAAACAATACTGTAACTGCGGCTGCAGCCTTTCTGAATGGTTTTGCATTAGAGCTTCTATCTGTGGTCGGATGTGACTAAAGTAGAGTTTGGTGGCATTCTTCACTCCGGACAAGAAATAGTATACTTCGTTGGCCTTGTTTACAACCGAGTCTGTGAAAGCATTACTGGGATAGTATGCTGTTCGACCAAACAAGAAGTACCGCAATCGACCAGTCGTACGTAATGTGGGTTGCCAGCTGAGAAGAGAACGAATGGACGGACAGAAGTTGAGTGCTTGGACTCGCCTTCGGACAGGATTGTCTCCGGCAGGTACATCAATGCTCGTGGATGCATTCTTACTGAACTCGAGCACCAGGTGGGTGACATTGAGCACAGATTTTTTGGAAGATTCGTACACGTCCAAAGCGCGACTGATATCGTTCCGTTGCGCACCACACACGAATGCGGACAGATTCCGCAAGACAGACAAGTCCAAATGATCAAGGGAAAGATTGCCGACTGGATGAGATAAAATTTTCGGGATGCGACTGTACGCGATGAGGATAGCCGTCAGCTGTGGGTGTAATTCCGAAAATAAGTCCAAATCCAAAAATGAACCCGATTGTGTGAAACTAACAGGAGAGGAGGTGGACAGGGGTGCAGAAAATGAGAAAGTATTGATAAATATTACGGGAAACAGAAGAGATGCGAAAAAATCAGTATGAGGGATAATAACATTTTCACACTGCGAATCTTTTATTAGTTTGTAACTGAGAAAAAACAGTGCAGCTCCGAGAACCTCGATGACGGCAAACGGCATGTTCTATATCAACCGCAGTGCAGCCAGTTATGATTTCCAGCTTGAGTGTAGGAGGACATCGTCTTGTGATGCCGTCAAACCTTCGTGGATGAGATGGGCTGGTACTGCGGCATTCTGCGAGTACAAAGTGCTACAGCATTATAATATGACTTATCGTTCAAATGCAGTAAGTATCAAGGTGTTGCCTGAGCCTCTCTGCAGCAGTACTAGTCTCACAAGAACTAGGAAATGGTTTGAGATTTGAGATACCAGCTATTAAATGCGCGGCCAAAAACCCAGTTTCGATATTTCAATTAGTCCAGTCTGGGACGATCGACCGTGTGTTATCGTGTTTGCGTCGGGGCTGTATGGCGGCCGCGTGCCAGGAGTGTCAAATCTGAAAGAGCACGAGACCACTGGTGTGTTGCGGGATATGAGAGCCATGAAAAACTTTCATGCGATTCACTGTACGGTACAGAATACCCGATTAGTTATAACGGTCACAGATATAATTTGTTCTCAAGGAAGCGTGTTTTGTAAGGTCACAGTATGAGTATCAAAGATTCTAACTACTAAAAATCATTGCAACTTGTAGCATCTGAGCGGCAGTGCCACTGAGGTTCAAGAGCCGCATCGAACCACCAGAATAGTATGACCTGTTTCGATATATGTTGAAGTCTACAAATCGACAATCATAGCATAGGAATCCAGGACTAGATTAGGGTGCAGCTACTCCGGCTACGGGATATATTGTAAACTTGGGCATTGCAACAGTAATACAAATATTATTGGATTCCAATGCATGTACTCATTTCGTGAAGGCATAGTAAAATTCTTGATCTTAAAAATCCGATGAAATTCAAAGTAGACACCTACAAAGCAGCAACATGTGTTCCCATTTGAGTGACAAATGTGGTACGTCGATCACCATACCCACCCGTCGTCAGCGTCTTCCAGCAGCGACGTCGAATATCACATTATTACTCCTAGGCTGCACAATTGGTTAGAAGGAATCGTGGCTGTACCCCACCTGGGATACTGCCAGGGCGCCAAAACCAGACGGAGGATGATTAAGTTCCTCGACTAAAGCCTTCGGCCGAAAAGCTTGACCGCAGAGCACAGGTATTTTGGCGAGAAAGACTAGTGCATTACACCTTTTGAACAGGTCACCACACATGTTCCAACCCCAAGTCTGGAGGAAACTGTGTATAGTTAGACCTCTAGCCCTTGTACGGCGGCGAAGTATCAGTATTGAACATTGATGCTATACTATCGACGGTGATGAATGGCTAAGAGGTGGTCGTCTTTATGAACAAGCAGTGCTCCCAGAGTTGCTATAGTTCACATTAGCTCCTCTCCAATTCTGAAAGTTGAGGGTTAGCAACTGAAAGAGGCTCACAGATGATGAATAGGAGCATTACCTAAGGGGGGAAATCTGTCCCGATTCGCGAAACGCCGCATGACTGTCTTTCGAAATTAACCATGAGGTTATGTGGCCTCGTCCATGAAAAGCCTCAGGTTTCTGAGAATAGATTTAGTAATCAAATAAGTGGGTGAGTTCACGGCAGTGGTGATGAGATCGTGCTCCAGGAAATGGCCCTGACCAGAAGTTCCTGCCGCCAAATTCGAGCAAGTTCTACAACTTCATAGGCTTAATTCAGGGACCTGTAAAATCCCGGTTCTGGAGCTGCCCCTTCGTCGCTTTATCTATCACGGCAGTGGTGATGAGATCGTGTTCCAGGAAATGGCCCTGACCAGAAGTTCCTGCCGCCAAATTAGAGCAAGTTCTACAACTTCATAAGCTTAATTCAGGGACCTTTAAAATCCCGGTTCTGAAGCTGCCCCTTCGTCGCTTTATCTATTATGGTTTTGGTTGATACACAACCTTATGAGCAGTACATTACAAATATTACGGTTTTGGTTGGTATATTCTATTTCCCTTGGAATACTGAGAACGAGCAGTGACAGGCCACAAGTGGATACGCAGAAAAAATCATTGTATTTGTTTCATGCACCCGTATACATACCAAGCGCGTTTGGTTTGACGAGGTCAGAAACGTCTTGTTTCATGCACCCGTATACATACCAAGCGTGTTTGGTTTGACGAGGTCTGCCTAGTTCAGTAATTGTCTTGTCCGACCAGTGATCGACCGAAACTTATGTTACGTGTTTACTTTTATCCACTTCGGTCAAAGTGTGCATATAGTGTAAGACTAATAGTTGTCAGCCATGGGATATCTCTGAAAATGCATATTCTAAAGGGGAAAAGCGTTGGACAAACTGACAGAGAGCAAACTCACGATTGCTTCAGTCTCTCGTTGGATAACAATTCGGTCAAATTATGGATGAAGTCGTAGAACGGAGTACCTGGTTCTAGAAAGTGACTAGATGAAGTCTGATGTGGATGGCAAGTGAAGTTGAAATTGCACACCAATGATTGCAGATAGTGTAGCAATCCCATACTTGGCATACTTTGACTTTGCACATGGCAAGCAGAGTAACTGTGTACGGGTGCATGAGCACGAAAACCCGCGAGAATGCAAACAAAAAGGATTGGGAAAGTCAGTTCTGCGGTCAGAAGGAACGGAGAACGGCGACGCAGTAGAAAATTCTTCCATAATAAAACGCGGAAGTGAGACAGGTAACGGCGGATACGTCTTCGGTCGCGGGAGTGGGAAGAAAAAAGGGGTGCATCTGCGACGCTTGCCAAAGGCGGACAAGAGCTGGTCATTTAACTGAACAACATCAGAGCTCTGGTGAAGGGAGCCTAAAATGAGAAAGGTGGATAAGCCGAGAAAATGTTTATTTCATGAGAGCTGACTCGAAACCGGGCTCCAGAACTGGTTAGCTACAAGGATTCGGACTGGCGCCCAACTTTGCCAGACACCCAAAACGCATTTTAGGCGATCCAGAAGTGAGAACTCAACGCCAGAAGCATGACGCTATGTGCATCCGACACACACATCACATCAGTTCCTCATCGTGACGTAACAGTGTACCTTCTGTCACACATAGGATGCCCGTGGTAGTGTCGGTAGAGTGTGGCGGATTTTCGGCTGGCAACCTGGTCTCCTATAAGGTGACACATGGGCCTAGTGAGGACACCGTCACATGGCGTGTTACCTCGCCATAAAGAAGTTTCACATGTCACAGGAGCAGGAGCTCCTAGTCGCTACTTTGTACCACCAAATTGACGCATGAACCGTGTGATGGTCATTAGCACTGATGCCATGATGTCCTGTGCGTCGTAACTGGATTTTAAGGGTTGAAGAAGCAGATGTGATGGGCTGGTGAAATCGACATCTCCAGAAGTTCTGACCTCATCTCCCTGCTGCCTTACAACCTGTACTTGATTGTGCAAAAGCTAGAGGTTTACTCATGATCAGAAGTCGTGTGAAGTCTGGGGTGCGCTCGTACGCGATTTCCTGTGTTGCTCCATGAATATATTCCAGAATCGAAACTTCGTTTATACTACGGCGACGCTACTGACGCTGGCTTAGCCGTTGTGGTGACAAATGTGCAAGCTAAACCTCCTCCCTCACCCACAAAATTCAGAAACGCACTGTAAACATGTTGTTGGAATGTCCGTACTCTACTTGACGTGGGAAGCCAGAGCTTCACCATACGAAGCCTCTTTGACTGCCAGGCCGACATTACATGCCTTTAGAGACAGATTCCTGGTTTCGGGTCACAACGCACCGAACTATTCGGGACGGAAGCCTTCTACTGGTTGCACTATAGCGATCCAAAAGATAAATCTGACATGCACAATGTGGCTGATGCTTTTAGAAAACGCACCCAAGACGCCCTAACCTCTTAAGAGCCAGTGTTGTCCGGGATTTCGACAGCTCATTTCAAACGCTCTCCAGTGAATCTGACCGCCATATCCATCCAAGCACCCATTCCTTCATCAGACCACTCCGCCAAGCACGATTTCTAAGATGGGTTACAAACCTGGTCAACCGTACACCCAACCGCAATATCCTGATGGCTAAAGATGGAGCTCCAACCAATGCCACTTGTCACATTCTTGGAAATGTAGTTTGATTGTTAAACTTTGACGCCTCCAATTGACTCACATTATTCAATATGAGCATCAGGAGGCATCCACACACAGTATTTTAAGGGCTGTCGCATTGCTTCCGAAATGAACACGCGACTCGATGGCCATTGTCTGTTGAAGACTGTAGGCCCTGCCGGAATTAAATGAGGTTCAGATCATGCCTTTACGCATGCGTTTAAATTTCACCTTATCGCCAGGCACACACCATGATATACGAAAAACATCCAGGACTACTAACTGCGGTGGCTCGACCATGTGCTACGCATGCCGAAACAGTCTAACGGGACGAGTGTTATTCTCCACGTCCCATTCAGAGTGGCATAAACCGCAAGCTACGGCTTGGTAAAATGTTGCGAAAATGCTTATAAAGAGATTAGGTGCCAGTGATGCGGTCTACCTTCCAGGGTGGAGTCCCCATGATCCCTTCTTTGTTTGAAAGAAATGGTGACTGAGCGATGTCAGTGGCGTTCATGTCATCAGCTTATTTCCAGATTGATTGGCGATGTAGGTACCTTAGAATACTTGCCATAGACTGAGAGTAGATCTCTTTCCAATACACTCTTATTTTGCTTTCACTCTGAGCCTTTAAATATAATTGCAGTTGTGCGGCAGTGAAGCACCAATGTTTCTGATGATGACTGCGGTTCGAATAGCGAGGTATGCAAGAGCTAATGGAAATGAAGATAAAGCAATACTGTTGTTATGGCCAGTAAGGTGGGGGCAAAGGTACCTCCTGTCAACCAGGCTGAAGAATGAGGTTAGGAAAGACTGCCATAATGACTCAACATAAAAAGTCGAACGCAGTGCGAAAGCTAGTGAAGCAGTCGATTGCTCTCAACGTGTGAACATCTGGTCAAAATAACTTATTATTGGGTCTTGATTAAAGCTTATTTTGATATCCCGTTCTTCCGGAAATCGTTAAAGTATCAAAGAGATTTTGGAGGCTGATCCACCGGTAATTTTCGCATGCTGTTTTGCAACTTTTCTTAGGGATTTGGAGAAAAATTGGGGTGTACCATTGAAAGATGATAGACTCCATCTCTCAAATGGGACAAAAATTGTGCAGAAGTTGAAGGATTGCATAGAGAGGGAGAGTATAGACCTTGAAAATGCCACTCTCGGTTGCGGCTTTTCTGCTTTTGGGAAGACTGACAAACAGAATAATTTCCGGTTGCTTAGGCGACTTACAGCTGATGCTGTATGGCTCCGACATAGGAGGTTGTAGGCTTCTTGCCTTAAGATTAGGGTAGTGCCCTCTCTGAATGACCCACCACCGGTTTATCATTTTAGCAGCGCAGACAAGGTTGTAGGGACCGATTCTTACGAGACAACATGAATTTGACGGGAAGGCCATATGGCCAACGACACGTTTACACTCATATCCGACCAATTTGAAGCGTGATTGGTTCTAGTAGGCCTACTGTTCACGTTGAAGAACTCGGAAGTCCAGAACTTCATTGGGGTGGCTATGTAATGCTGAAGTGATATATAATGTCCAGTACGCGTCCAACTATCCAGTTTCACTGCGCGACATAACCAAGAGGGTCCTTGGAGGGTTGTGGGATAGACGTCTTAAAAACGGACCAACGATCAGCCACGACACCACAGTAGTGCAGGTAGTTGGCTGATTTTATCGCTGTCATTGCACCAGAGTGCAATGACACTGTTTTTCAGAGGTTGACGTTAACTCGCAGCAAAATGTAGTTCAGCACACACTCGTTCAATTTTGTTGATAGGTTTGCTTCACAAGCCGCGATTGCACCGCAACAGATGAAATTACTCCGCATTCAATCAAGGCGTGATCTTGAGTCATTTATGGCGTAAGAACCGAACTTCGCTGAGGCTAAAGGACCGCACATATAGGCTAACTGTGAGCGTGACCTCACTTAATGGTTGAGATTCAGACTGTCCGACAACCCACTGACAGTGCTGGATTTATGCACCAATTTGTCAGCTCCCGCCAACAATGTGCAGCTACCTCCCCCTCCCCCAAATCACTGGTGAACGAAACTGTGGCAGCCACAGCCACTGTACGAGTACGCGGTTATTATAGCTGACAATGATGATGATGATGTCCGATCCGAAGACCTTGAGCGTCTTCACAAATTTGGTCGCCGTAGCAAGCAGGAGGTATCTGGCTTCAACGAGTACGTGACGAGGCAGTGCGTAAGTGGATACTTAGTAGAGAACCGTTGAGGCAAAATATCAAACTTACCATGTCCGTGGTTGGGGCATGTCTCATTCACATGCACGAATATACATTGTCCCCTGCAAGAACCGCGTACTTGCCGTACAGTAGTTCTAGCTTCCACAGTTTCGTTCACTATGGTTTCGGGTAGATAGCTGCGCATTGAAGGCGGTAGTCCATATTATTAATTCAGAAATACAGAGTTGTCAGTGGACTTTTAATTTGGGTGGTTAAAAGGAGCTATGAATTGAAGGCAATAGCTTAGATGCACGAGTGCCAGTAAGGGCGCAACTGGACCATGCCTGAAAGTCTCTACTTATTGATGTGGCTCAGTGGTAAGAGCGCGAGTTTGCTGACTACAAGGTTTGTGGTTCTTATACGACCTCTGCCTCTCGATTTCCCCTATCTAGGATTGGACAACCTGGTAGTATCCCCCCCGTGCTTGCTTCTGCTGGCATGGCAGTTAGGCACCGAAAGGGTACTACAGGTGGGCGGCGTGTTCCGTCTTGAAGCCCCCATCCAGAGAGATGGCAGTGACCAGTGGGGCTGAGTTTGCTGGTAACGGCTCTCGCTGCCAATTCTCCTGACTCGTTCCCACCTTCACATGGTTGTGCGAAAAGAGCCCTTCGAGGAAGTTTGTCGAGTGGCATACGGAGCACGTGACCAAACCAACAACACCTACGGAGTGTGAACAGTTCATCTATCGTGGAGGACTTGTCTCTTCCGAAAATCTCAACATAATTCAGAATTACTGATCCGGTGTTCCCACCAGACTCGAAAAATGAAACGAAGATATCGAAGAACTTTGACGTCTTTGGGGAGCAGCCAGAGAGCACCTCTGATGTCACAGCCAACAGGCTGATGCCACAGTGGTTTTCACACAGCGTCCGTGTGCCCTTTTTGAAGATGGGGGTGAATGTCGGCATGCCCCATTCTACAAGCATCTTCTCTTCGTCCCATATGGTACCAATAAGATTTGTCAGGTGGGTCACCAGGGATTTTCCGCCTTCCTTGAAGAGGGCCGCATACAAACCATCCGATCCTGGTGCCTTCTCACGTTTTAGTAGGGCTATTTCGTACCTTATTTCTTCTTCCGAGGGGCGATTAAGGTTTACATTCCATTCGCCCGTGTGCATTATCTCCACAGGCTGTTGCAGGAGGCCAGCTGAACTGTTTTTCGAGGTGTTCGGCCCACCTTCCCAGTCAACGTTTTGCAAAAGCCCTCTCCATCTCCCGAGCTTCGACGTCCACCAGAGCTCTCGTCCTTTCCTTAGGCTCTTCACTATTTACCGTTTGAGAGATTTGCGTGCGCCGTCGAACTCATTGCCTGCTGGTACAGCCTTCCTGGCATCGACCATGGATAGCGATCTCGATGACATCTAGTGGTCTTGTGGTCGAATTGGGGAAGTCGGACAGACAGCACTTAGTGCCACAAACATAGCTCCTTCCACATTTTGCCACCCTTCATCCACATGCTCACTGCCGTCACAGTATTGGTTTGCTGTGAAGAGTTGTTGGGTTAGTTCAGATCGATACTGTTGGGCTACGGTAGTTCTTCGAAGATAGTGGATTGGCGAGATGGCCTAAGTGGTTAGAGTGCGAATTTACTGACCACAAGGTCCGTGGTTCGAACCCGACCTCTGCCTCTCGACTTCCCCTGTCTAGGCTTGGGCAACCTGGCAGTATCCCAGCCCTCGTGTCTCCTTCGTGTGGCATGGCAGCTAGGCACCGAAAGGGTACTACCGCTGAACGATTTTATTTTTTAAGTGGATTGGCATGCAATTTGCTGACTTGTGAGGGCCTGAAGGAAGATGAAATCTCGGGCATGCTCGTACCATAGCGGGATGGGAATCACATTGTGTACCCCAAAGGTACCGGCAGTCTTGAATTATAGCTCTCCACTGGTGGTTGATGACCATGTGATCCGATTCCACGGTTGGTAGCTGCCGGGTTGAGTGATTCACCCGTTTATGCTGAATGTTCGTACTGGTCTAAAACAGCTCATGATCAGTACACAACTAGGGAAGTCGCTCTCTGTTGTACGCGCAACGAGCGTCGATGCCTAATCGACCATCCAGATGTGATTCCAAGGAGCTCAGACGAATTAACCAGGCATTCATAAAAATCAGAATATCAGTGCTTCTTGCTCTCGATATAAAGTACCCTTCTCAGCGTCAGAACTGCAGCCGGTTGAAGCATAGGCCGACACAACAAACAGGCACCGCTTTTGTGTTAGGAGGCACCGAGCTTCATTGAGCTAGGTAATCGGACTGTTCACTGAGATCCACCCAGTAAAGCGCGTTCAGCCCTGGGGCTAAGTGCAACTCTCAAGCCGCTTCTGCATTACCAGACATACGGAGGAAGCAATGTGAAAGAGCTAAGCTCGTCCTTGGGTTTTGAGATGCATAACTACGACTAGGGCTCGTATGCGTGTTTCGGAGACACAACACACATCAATTTTAGGGAAGTATAAAATTTCAGCGAGCATTGCCTATTTGTTAATTTGACAGAGTACGGACGTTCAAAGCTCTTATGTAGATAGGATCTCGTGAATTCAGCAAGGTGTTCTTTTGTTTATTGTTAAGAAGCAGTGGGGACTGTAAGGCCCGTCGGTCAGATAACTAACAATGAAGCGACCTAGCAAGGTTTGCTAGTGACGGGAAGGGGTCGGGGGACAGAAGACTCTGTGGGCAAACGATACGTCCCGGTTGTCAGGCGGAGAAAGGGTTTTTGGTTGAAGTACCCCGCCTTGAGCTTTTGACTCAAAGGTCTGGCCCACAAAGTGGTGATAGGTCCCTGTCCCTGGCCTTTGGTCCAAAAGGCTCACCCGCAAGGCAGCGCGCAGTAGGGTTTCCTTTTGGGGACCCTTTCCGGAGCCAATGACTCAACAGTCTGACCTGCTTGGCTGCAGCGGGTTGGCCTAACCCGATGGCGCAGAGAATAAGACATTACTGTTTTACTTCTAATGCAGCTGAACACAGCAGGTGCTCTTTGGTTTTCAAGACATTTCAACCGTATTGAATAATGCGCCCGCGGTCACGGCGAACCGTTGGGCGATCGGAATGTGCGAATTTTGGGGCAAATCGTTCCTAACCCGTTGCTTCTCGGAGGAAGGCAGTACCGCTGCTTCCATCTACATGGACATGCTGGTTTCCTGGAAGAGATAACTCACTGCCTCCACACTCCTATCACAAATGACAGTATGACTATTTCGCAGACTGCCTCGTAGCACGATGACTCGTAGTATGGGGTCACGCTTCTCATGGTCTGACCGTTTCCCTCTGGGCTTCCTGGCATGGTTGCACCTTGTGGAACGAAGTTTCAGCCGGTGTAGCCCGCGGGATCACTGAAGCACTCAAGCCCGACCACCACGTCAAGGCAGTAGCTTTAGGTCAAGTGCGACATGTATCACGTATCCCCAATTATCATCTGCAGATTTCCTGATCCAATATTTGGTGCAAAGTTTGTAGATGACCGAGCATGACATGGCAAAGTGAAATGGACGCGGTCACCATCAAGCTGAGTGCTGTTGGGTCTTCGTGACTTTCGCCCACGTGACCCTGGTTGTAGGTGGCCAGAGAGCCTGCAGAGGGAGGCATGCAACCTATTCCAGAGGCGAGAATACTGTCAACTCTTAGTCTAGCAAAATTTCATCCGTCATGATGCGCCGGGTTTACGTTGGATGAGGTCTGCGAAGGATGCTGATGCGACTCCACTGATGGCAACTTACTCTTACACTTACAACTTACTCTTTATCTTAATGCTGCCTAAAGATGTAGGCATCCCATTCTTAGGACAAAGGCTTTCCTTTCACTAAGTCTCTACCCTTCCCCTTTGTTTCCACTTTTTACCAACGTTGTCTCACATTATGGTTGTACGGCGGTTAAGCACCATTATGTATTGCTGTTTGATGGTATGGTCGATTCTCCACGTTCCCCCTCTTAGTTCGTCAATGCGACCGACAATCCGCCCGTGGTGACCGTCATCAGGACATAATCGAACTGACGGGTGGTGCGACTATTATTGTAATACTAAGTTAGTAAATGTCTCTTATGGTTCAAAGCAGTGGAGTTGATGAGTCTGTTGCCATTCATACACCGTTGCCTATACCGAACTTGCCCAGGACATGCTGAGTGGAGTCAGCTGATTGGCCTACACAGACACACCGGTCATATGCGGCTGATACTATGTCGCGTCTAGATATCCCATCAACCATATTTTGCAGCTATGCGAGACTTTCCATGAAGGCGGTAACTGCTGGATAGACAGAGGAGTGCCTTTAAATAGAACTATCGCAAATCCTCCAAGACATGGGTACACTGTGAGCACGACCACTCAGGGGAAAGGTGATCCAAAAGAAATCCAAGATGTGGAGTCAGCTGGTGTCCACTACCGCTACGGGGATACACATAATGACTAGGTCTGGCAGTCCGGTCCCAGATAGGCGTATGATACCATGCCAATAAATGTGGAGACTAACTAAAGTTATCCTCCCACTGCAACCACTCAGCATACTACGGGTAATTCAGCGGCCGGTGCCCCTCCAATGGACTAACACAGTAGGTCGTAGCATTGCATGCTTTGGTTGATGCGAACATAAGTGACGGTGGGACAGGATGTGAGTAGCGTTTCGATTGCCACTGCGAGATGCTGTACTCCTAGAATAGATACAAACCAACAAGCTGTGACATAGGGAGGGCCAAATCCTGCAGCGCGAATCACCGCAAGGAATAGAGGTGCTGTCATTTTGTCGTCCGAGCTTATGTATCCAACAATTATAGCCCCCAAGGGCCCATATATTCAAACGTATGATCTTTGAAGTGAACTACCAAAATTCACGACTAGCTCTACCGAGCACAAGAGTCGGATAGCCACAGGAAACATGAGGTCATCCAGTAAGGCAACAACAGGGGCCACGTTCTCTAACCTTCAAAATCTCTGGCGACCGTGCAGTGTGAATCTGTGGCTACTTAAAAACGGTCCTACACGGATATGAAGACTGATTACTTATTGTGCTGAAGTTCCAGCAATCATCCGCTTTTTTACCGCTACAGTCTGAAAAGCAGTTGGCGCGGCGCATAAGAAGTCCAAAGCATAGGTGCCATAAGGACATAGGGACGGCTCCCACATTCCAGCCTCAATGATTCGGTTGCATCTTTAGAAAGCTGTAGCAACAATTATCAAGGTATGGACTATTGGCCATACCATGACTTGACGCGACAACAACACGACATAAAGATCACATGTGGCTGCGGCCACGTTGTTCTCACATTTCCGAATGGATCACGAAAGTTAGCAACTATCCGTGGTTTGGAACCTTGGCGGACAGAGCACAGGGACGCCGCTGAATGCGCGTTTCTCCACCACGAGCTTCCGTATCTCCAAGTTCATTATTTGGTTTTCCAGCCTTTCCAAAATTCGGGATACACCTTTTTCATGTTTGGCACAATGACCTAATTTAGGTGATACATTGCAGTAAATAAGACATGGCTAGATTACTTATTTCGAATATACACCACTAGCACCTTTGCATTACAGTTGATGAAGACTTGCGGTTTCCCTTCGCATCTGCTTACACCGACTGATGCTATTACAACCTCGTAGACAATTTCTTGTTAGTTCGTCACATGCAAATCGGACCTGCACGATAAATACCTCATTTTCGACTGTATAGCCGCCGAATGGCGCGGTAGGTATCACTGATTTGTGTCAACAACACTCTCATCACATGCATGTGGAGACCATGTAAGTCGCCGGGAATCATATTTTAAAAAAACGTTACACCTTACACAGAGGCGGAGAGCGACTCGAACAAACACTCAAAAACGCTGTCGCAGAACATATAAACTAAATTAACGTTCTATTCATTATTAAAATCCTACGGAGCCTTTCATGAAATCCTCACAGTTAAAAAAAATGACGAGCCAAAAAGTTGTGGTAATAGTGATATCCGCTTACACCAATGCGGCATCACCCACATACGTTATGTATACAATTCGCTTCACAGATGCAACAAAGTAGTCAAAGTCCACTCAAATATCCGGACTGCCGAATTCGGATTCAGTAAATAATTTACACGACAATACTTTGCTCGGGAAAAAACTTGGTACGAACCCATATTGGAATCCCTCAGAAGCTTGCTGTGCGTTAATGTCTGCACGACTTCTGTGTCGATTCTTGTCTTTCCGTTCCGCCCAGCAGTGTACGCCGGAAAACAATGCATTCTGAAAGGATGCTTACTGAAGATAAAAGGGGATTGTTATAACCGTGCTTTATAGAGCAACCGCAGAAATTTCCACAAGGTCACGCCGTAATTTTCACGATTGGGCGAAGCAAAAAATGCTCAACCCTTATTGGCTGATATTCTGATGGATCAGTGCCACGGTTAGGTCGCACATATCCGACCGATCCACATGCTGCTCGCCTCCGGATATTTTCCATCTGATTCTACTGAACCATCTAACTATTTCAGCCACATTCTTCCTTTCAGTGACAGCCTGATCTTGAAAGCCCAAGAGTTACTGAAACGCTTGCCACGTTTTCAGCGACTGACACGGATTTCACGGATTGACACACAGGATTGAGGCTATTGCCCAAGTTTCCCGGGTCGCTTTTGTTCTTGTCGGTCAGTGGCTGTCGTTCACCTGAAAGGCACAAGTGAAAAAAGGGTGTAGCACTGCTCCTTATGTTCTCAACGCGGGGCAGTATGCTCGCCAGCGCGAGGATCCGCGTAAATAAGTGTCTAATAGTGCCTTAAACTGGGTCCTAAAGGGAGCGTGAACAACCGTTGGAGGAAGGTCATTCCACGCACCTACTACCCGAAATGAGAAAAAAACTTTGCCTAATGAATGTGTGTTCTCTGAGCTTGAAAATTTTCTTACTATGTCCCCGCCATGTGTTGGCTGGGTCAACGATGAAAAACCTGTTTGCCAAGCTTTGTTCAAACAGGGCATAAGTAAGAATTAGGTCTCCAAGGGGGCCACGGTACTCCAGGGGAAAGAGATCGAGCATCGCGAGACGCGTTTCGTAGTTCACGGATTTTAGGCCGGCAACCATTCTCGTGGCGGCTCGCTGGACACGCTCAATGAGGATGACGTCTTCTGTGCGTCCTGAGTAGACAACTTGGTTGGAGCGGTCTTATGGGCCCCATAGAGTATTTGGAAGTCTGTAGCTACCCTTTCGTCACACATATGACTTTACAGGTCACCTACACTCGCTAGATCGCGAGATCTGTCTTTTTTCCTTACACTTACAAATCACGCCACAGAATCATGACTGACTTGACTACACAGCTCACAGCCAAGCCCTAGATCCCAAGATCTCGTTTTTTTTCCTACACGTACAAACCATGATACACAAGGATGACTCACAGACTGTCTACCGTCCGATAAGCTAGCAACAAGTCTGTGCTGACACCCACACACACGCAAACGTCCCTACATATAGGATAACAGCACAGCACAGCAACACCACACAACTCAACAGAGCTTCACAAGCCGCCCGACTTGGAGCTGAGCCGCTCAGGCCTTACGGTGCTTCGCTCACGGATATTCAGGAATACGTGTGGCTGCTAAAACAGCGAAGACGACACGAAACCTGCATCTGGAGTTACAACAGGATTTATCAGCCTTTACCAGAAAAACTATAAATCCCTTGTTTGCATATATACCTGTTGTAATAATTTTACTCAACAAGCAGACATTGTTAGTGCTCCCCGTTTTCTCGTTCATAAAACCAGTTTTCGGGTTCTAGCAGTGCATTCACAAGTCCATTCGAGTAATTAGGGAGAAGGTGCGTCGGATCTTCCGTAGAATGGCGAATGCCTTTTGGGCCGAGTTCTCATGGTGCAGTGAGGAGGACAAGTTTGAGGAGACCCAGATGCCCAAATCCTTTTTGGCATCTATCCTCATGATGCTTTCTGGTCCTTCCTCACCATGCATAGCAAAGGCATTCACTGAGTCTCCTCCAAATGACATATGGACGCACTTATCTTTATTCAGAGTAAGGTGCCAATCCACCGACCGCTGCTTGGCAGCGTCTTCATCCATTTGGAGGACACTGGCATTGGTACTCCAGAATTTCAAGTCGTCCGCAAAAAGTAGGCGTGGAGTCGCAAAAACATCTGGGAGGTCGTTTACGTAGATCAGAAAAAGCACTGGTCCCAGCGCGGAGCCTTGAGGAACTCCAGTGGAGACCGGCGCTGGGGAAGGGTAGGTCGAGTTTATTCTCACTCGGAATGATCTGTCTGATAGGAACGCCTTGATCCAGCGAAGGAATTTTCCTCGAATCCCGTAGGACTCGAGTTTGTGGAGCAGCGGAACGTGTGGGACCCTATCAAATGCTTTTGAGAAGTCGAAAAATATGGCATCCGATATGAGTCCTTCGTCCTTGGTTTGGGTTAAGCTGTCAATAAACACGAGCATGTTTGTCACGCAATAGCGGTCTGGGAGAAATCCGTGTTGGGCTGGAGATATCAAGTTGCTGGAAGTAAGGTGGTCTAGGATAGCTCACTTCAGAATGCGTTCCATCACCTCGCACGGCATGCTAGTGGGGTTTATTGGCCTGTAGCAGCCAAGCGACAGCCAATCATCAGTATTTTAGATTGGCGTGACAATCACCTCCTTCCAAGCAGAGGGAAGGCGGCCCTCGTCAAGCGACTGACGAAACACCAAGTGTAAATGGCTTGCCAGTGTGGAGGACTTTTCTTTCAGGATCCTTGGATGGATCTCGTGGGGCCCCAACGCACAAAATAGGCTGATCTGGTGCAAGAGTTGACGAATGTCTTCCACTGTAAAGACCAAGTCGGTAAGAGGCTGTTCGTAGTTCTGCCTTGACAAGAGTGGATGTGACGAAGACGTTGGGGCTGAGTATAGACAAGCATAGTGTTCTCTGTAAACCTCAGATACCACTGTTGGGTCATTCGTCGGTTCTCCGTTTCTGTCCCTAGAGGAGAACGCGGATGAGTTGTTTCTGTGACGGTGTCTCATGTGTTTGAACAAGACGTTTTTGTTTTTTCGAGCGAGGTCCAGAATGGTGGCTTGTTTTCGCATGTTCCATTTGCGGATTTCTGATTTACAGCGGTTCCGCATTTTACGGAATGCCAGCTCATCTTCTGCATCCACTGTAGTCAACTTTTTGAAAAAGAGTTGGGACCTCTATTCCAGAAGTCGCCGGATCCTTTTCGGCAGCCTGGGGTTCATCCGAGTGCGTGCTGGTCAGCCTCGTGAACTTTTTGGACAGTGGTCCAATATAGTTCTTCCACTGGAGCTGGTCTCAGCGTGACTTGTTCAAGAAAGATATGCATTCCTGAAAAGTCTGCACGGCAGAAGTCTCGAAACCACACTTCCTGGCCCAATGGCAGATGAAATCAAAGGTCAGCACACGGTGATCGCTATGTCCCAGTGGAGGTTAATTGTTACCTGATCAACGAAGTGTCTTTCGTTGGTTATGACCGAATCCAGCAGGGATGGTAGTTGGCCTGCGCGGTATCTGGTGGGTGCAACGACACGTTGAGTCCAAGCGCTCTGTCGAACGACTTCAATCAGCGCCGCTGCAACTCTCAATTCAGAGTGTATAGTTGCCCATCTGCTCAACTTCTACCCCGATGATTAAAGTGAGGCTCCATTCCAGCTTCTCTGTAACTACGACCCGCAAAAGCCTTTGAAACAAGCGTATTCCAGAGACGAAGAGCAAATACAATCGTGTTTCTTCTATAGCCTCAGTATAAATCCTCTTACCAATTCTCCCCTGACCCTCTCCAAAAACTGCCCGTGAACCAAATCGTACTAAAACTGGTGTCATTCACCTTGTGTTATCGTCCATAGACAAAGGCACCCCAGGCATTATATGTTTTCTTCAGCTTCTTTTGAAGGATCTCCTTTGTTGACCGACAACTGCTCCGGCCTGAGCAGAATTCTATTGAGTGGTCTACCTAATTACCATTTCAAGTGGCTGATAATTTTTACCGCCTCCGATAATCATCGCATCCTGTTTTCTTCCAACCGCAGTTTTGTTCTTTTCCTTGCGATAGGCTATACGGATGACCTCCCGAATCGTCGCTCATGTAGGCTTCTTGAGCATCTGATCAATGTCCTTTGTTCCAGTAATTCCCTCTATTTGGGCACTGAGGCATTTTTAAATTATCTATCCACCACTCAATCCGGAATAAATATGCACCCTGAACATACCGAACGCGTAAAAATTATGTTATATCTCTCTCATGCTGCTTGTCACTCCATGTGTTCCATAACTCCGTGGTCTCTCCAGTTATATTTTCTCCAACTCACTCAGGATTGCTCATGTTGAATCAATCTCCCGAAAGCTAAGGAAGCTGTTTCCTGTAAACAAGCTCCTCAAATTTTGCGTAAATCTGCATTTCGTGCGTTTCTCTCCATTGTTTTACATCCCAGTGTTGTATCTCTTCACCTGCCCTGACGCTACTGGGTTATAGTCAGAAGACAAGAAGACGACCTGAAGGAACTGTGTATTAACGCAATTACAAACTTATATATATATGATTCACTTGTCACCGTATTTGACGGTTGATCCGCTGTCAACCAACCAGTGTGTCTCCCACACACCCACACTGGTTCTCGGTTGAGCGTAGATGGCCGTCTGTGCGCTTGTGTACGGGATGCCTTGGCCATGGAGTGGGCGTGAACATTCTGTGTCCTTAATTGACCTTTATCCGGCACATGATGAAATCGGACGTCATTCCGACGTGGGGGCATAGTCGCACGGCTCTGTTCCACATGACTGTTCCGCTGCGCAGTAGGCTGATGCGTAGCCGTATTAGTTACCCAGGTAGTTTTCAGATCCTGTATTACCTCCCCTTTCAATTCGAAACTGTTTTCGGACTGCTTGAACCAGATCGTATTTTCTCTTCTTCTTCGGGCTAACTTGGATCCAGTTTGGTCGTTTCCGTTTTCGATTGTCCCTTAGCTGTAAACCATGCGGTGCTGCATTTCTGACGTCCTTCCTCTTAGGTCTAAGATTATCGTAAGTAGTCCTAATTTTCCTTCCAAACATGCATTCTGCGGGCGATTTTCCACCGGGAATGTTTGGGTTTGGGGAATTTCGGTACATCTTCAAAGATGGTTGGATCGTTTTGCCCGACGTCTTCCTTCCTCCCACTTGAAGTAGAGCCCGTTTAACAGTATCCACGAATCGTTCAACCTGTCTGTTGGATTGAGTATGATTAGGCGAAAACTTTTGCGCGATACCTTTTTCTTTCCAAAACTGTCTGAATTCTGTTGAGGTGAATTGTGTTCCATTGTCAGCCACAATCAGCTCCTGATTACTGAAATATTGCAACACTCTAACCAGTTCATCGATAGTAGACTGTGGCGTAGTATTTCGCAAAAAGAACACATCTGGCCATTTGTTGAATGAATCCACCAGAGTGAGATATGACTGACCATTGGTTGGACCTGCATAATCCAAGTGAATTCTTTCCCATGGTTTCTTGCTTTTCGGCCATGGTTGTTCTAGACATTTTGGAAGTGACTCTGCCGTCATTTGACAAGGTTCATCCACATTCTGCGGGTTGATTGGCCCTTCAACGGAAATCCTGTCACTGTCTTGTGTTTCTGCTGGCGAAGGCAAATCTTTGGCGTCAACATCCAGCTTGTCTAGCTTGCCTGAAGTCTCCTGGTGGGCTCCAACGTGGCCTTCTTCGTACGAGTAGTATTCCTCGTATTCATCTGCATCATTGTCAGCCAGCACGGCTTCCACAGTCTTGCTTGGTCTGTCTTGACTGCCGTTTGAATCATTTTGACCATCGTTTTGATTCACGTTGCGTTGATTGCCTGGGTCTTGATTGATCTGCTGCGTCAGGGTCTCAGGTGAAAGGACATTGTCTGGTGCTGCTGATATTGCGATTGCCTGCTTTGAAAAAATTTGCGACAATGTCTCGATGAACTTTGCTTGATACTTTTCAAACTGTGCTTGCGATTTTTCAAACTGCGCCTGTTGCTGTTGCAGTAGAGCTTGCATTTGTTCGAAACTGACTGCCATGATTGAGTTTCGAAATGAAGATGACCCGTCGCCACTGTTGTATCTCTTCACCTGCCCTGACGCTACTGGGTTATAGTCAGAAGACAAGAAGACGACCTGAAGGAACTGTGTATTAACGCAATTACAAACTTCTATATATATGATTCACTTGTCACCGTATTTGACGGTCGATCCGCTGTCAACCAACCAGTGTGTCTCCCACACACCCACACTGGTCCTCGGGCGGTTGTTCCTTTGTCTCGATTGATCGTAGATGGCCGTCTGTGCGCTTGTGTACGGGATGCCTTGGCCATGGAGTGGGTGTGAACATTCTGTGTCCTTATTTGACCTTTCTCCGGCACATGATGAAATCGGACGTCATTCCGACGTGGGGGCATAGTCGCACGGCTCTGTTCCACATGACTGTTCCGCTGCGCAGTAGGCTGATGCGCAGCCGTATTACCCGGTCCTGAATTTCGCTTCTCATGCGCATTTTTTGGAATCTTCCTTGCTCACGTAGTGTCCTCTAAGTATGCTTTTTCCCATTCTCCTTATTATTGCCCATGTGTTCAATAACATGTCTCACCACCGCCTTTCAGGTCCCTCACCAGCCCAGCGAGGCCTCGGGCCTGAACAGGGAATAAACTTAGGCAATTGAATGCATGTGTTATTTTGTGCAAAATAAAATCCTTCAAGGTTCAGCTGCTGCCACAATGCACCCAATACTGCAGAAACCCTATTTCAGACAAGCTGACCCAGGATGCATACGGAGCTCTGCAGACCTTGAAACACGGTCTGTAAAACTTAAGTGAACATCACCTCGTTTACGGTTCGGCAATGAAAAAAGAAAGAGGTCACTTTTGTGGTTAGAAGACAAGTACAATAAAAGGCATGCCAGCCTGTGGCGATCAAAGTATATTTTGAAAAATAATTTACCAGAATATGCGAGTGATTATATACGTTGGCAGATACACCATAATTGCTGGTTAGCATTTCAGACCAGAGTACTAATACTCTGTCGGAGCCGGTGCTAAGAAAAACTTAGGATTTTTTCGAATGACAAATATTCACGTCCAATCAAGATGCTACCAGTGAAAGGAAGAAGGCTTTCGCTGCGGATTTATTTATTAGGAAATGCCAGCTGACCGGTTACAGACCATTGAACAGGGAAGCAAAACTCTCATCTGCATCTTATTTACAAAAAATGGACATCCATCTTCTCCCGAACAAGTCTTCTTGAACGTTCATGGAGATTCATTGACCCCACTCATTCGTCGGTCAAATCCAAGCAGATGTTACAAGGTGGCTCCACGAATTCCGTAACAGATCTCCCTTTTTCAATAGACACGAAGCGAAATTCCACGAACAACAAATACTGCTCGCGTGCCTCCCCATCAGTAGTACCACTTTTACAGTCGCCGCCCACAAC